TACAATATGAACACTTTGATTACCTTCAAGTTGTTGTTCAATTTTAACAAAATTTGATATAAACATATAAAGTGATGTGAACTTTCAATCTAATGGTTGAATTTATAAAATTCACATTTAATATAAAGTTATTGAGCGGTGTAATACTTAGTAAAAGTTACACCAATGTTATTATAACCCTTCTCTTTTAAAATATTATTTTTATAAATTAAATTTTAACATTTTAAATAAATTATTAATTAAATTAATATATTTATTCATCTTAAATCTAAGATATAAAATTCAAAAAAAAATGTGTTTATTCTTGTTTTATTTTCTAGTTATCAACCATTAATAAAATACTAATTTAAAATCTTATCTAATTATATCATAATATTTTCATATCAAATTTAAAACTAGATATTAGTATGCCATTTTTTATTATCATTAATTTATAAAAATATAAATTTAAAATGACACTCTTCATTCATAGACAGGAGTTCTGTACAGTGGTTAAGTTTTGGCAAATCCTACGGTACATAATTATATATTATAGATATAAGACAAACAACAAAAGATTATTATGAAACGACAAACAAATATTATGTTGTAGCGTAACCCTGTTGTTTTAAGGTAGATATTATGAACTTATGATAGCCTAATGCCATGTTGGCTCAAGATTTTCCCTCTAAAGACCTGCTAGTGTCAGTTTCTCGATCACCTGGTATCGCTTCTCTTCATCTTGGAGGACTCGGCTGATGAAATAGATTGGTGTCTGCACTTTCTGGTGCTCTTGTACTACTACTGCGCTGATAACGCCTTCTGCTACGGCTAAGTAAAGGAGGAGGTCGATTTTGTGATCTGGCCTCTGTAGGATCGGCGGGGTTGTGAGGAAGGTTTTGAAGCTCCGGAAAGCTTCTTCGCACCGATCCGTCCATTGGAAGTCTTTTGGTTTTCGCAGCAGGGTAAAAATGGGCCCTGCCTTTTCCGCAAGTTTGGGGATGAAACGGGATAATGAGACCAGCCGTCCAGCTAGGCGTTGGACCTCTTTCACCATTTGTGGCTTTGCATCTGTATGATTGCTTTACACTCACTACAAGAAAATTACATATTAGCGAGGGACTATTCCCTCGCTATTTCGTCTCTGATCTCTCGCTAATCAGATTTGTGACGGAATAGTGATGAAATTGTGAGAGACCATTCCCTCGCTAAATACAGGTAGCTAATTAGCGAGGGATTTAATCCTTCGCTGATCTGTAGCAAAATCCGTCGCCAATCCCTCGCTAAGGTCCTCGCTAATTATATTAAGGATGCTTACTATTTGCTCGCTAATTTGCGGTCAAGCTTCCCCGCTATTCCCTCGTTAAGGGGTCACAAAATATCCCTCTCTAATTTGTAGCTAATTCCTCGCTAATGTTCCCTCACAAACCCCTCTCTATTCCCTTGCTACATTTCTTAGCTAAGGCCTTGCAATTCCCTCGCTGAATATCCCTCGCAGACCCTTCTCTATTCCCTAGCAATATTTTCCTAGCAATTATCTCGCTATTCCCTCGCAATATTTCCCTAGCAATTGTCTCGCTATTCCCTCGCAATATTTCCCTAGCAATT